AGAGAGAGAGAGAGAGAGAGAGAGAGAGAGAGAGAGAGAGAGAGAGAGAGAGACGGCAGATGAGGTCGAAGGAGGTAGACGGAGCCATAGCTTGATCGAAGAAGGGGGCTAAGACAAAGGAGTTATGGGCACACAAATAGATATGAGAACCGAAACCAGCAATCCGCCATGAACCCATATCCCCGCCACGCCCGTTCCCGTACAATGAGAAAAGAACACGTGTATGTGAGTGGGACGTACGAGAAGTCATCACCAAGATTGGCGGGCGTTACTATTTTCCTCCCAAAACAAGGTGCTCGGGATTCGTAGGTGCTGGTTTTGTCATAATCGATACTCATTTCCCCCCGACTCATTGCTATTGCCTTTTAACGAGTTGATTGTCATCCCATGGGCAGCGGTGGCGCCTCATTGGCCTAACACACTATGTGCAGTGATTGTGGCCGCACCGAGCGTTATCGGGGAAAGGGGATCCACTACTGGACACGTGGCGAGGACGAACATGAGGAAAGAGCGACCAGGTTGAGGCCATCCACGTCGGATTCCAACCTCTATAGCGAACGGCGTCGGGACTCGGGAACTTGTTAGACACTCCTCGGGCGCATAAATCCCTCGAGGAAAATTTAGTTCCACCTATCCTTGGGGATGAAAACGGAAAAAAAAAGTGAAAACATTTCCTTGGGGAATGCTTGGGGCATCCTCGGGCTACAGCCATTTGGTGGCATTCCCCAAGGGACCTCCCCGAGGTCCCTTGGAGGTCAAAGATCCGCGATAATCAAAGCTGCGAGGGCACCCATCGTCGACGATAAATATTCGTCGGCTGGTCCATTGGAGCTCCTATCAGGCAGCACATGGACATCTTGGGTCTTCGACGTTCGACTTCCAGGAACCTTACGCCAACGGTAACTATTGGTGGCCGGCCGGCCTTGCGGATGTCGTCGACCAGTGTTCTCCCTCGCAGTGTGTGCCGCCAAACGGAAACGGGTTGAACGGTCGACAAATTTAAATACTTCAGCCGACCCCCCTTGCTCCGATTGCCCGCTGTATTCCGCGACGAAAAACGTTACAAGGCGTTTGTCCCATGCTGCGGTGTGCGGTTTGCAGCCCTCTTCGTCGCCGTTTGCTGGAGGTGTATCATCGTCGTTTAGCTACTACCCTTCCCCACTTGCCTTTCATGGCCGACGTCTTTCAAAGGCTGCCGCTGCTGCTCCTGGTCATTCTTTTGCTCGTCCTTGTCGTCTTCTTCCACGTCTGCATCCTGTGCAGGGTGCCTGGATGTACACGTAAGAGGCGGTCTGCGAAGAAGGACGTCAGCATGGACGGGCAACAGGTGAAGAGCAGATCTTCAGTGGACCACTCCGGAAGCCACCGCGCAGGCCACGACCTGGCTCGCAATGCATGGGCATTCGACCCGTTAGAGTGCGTGTGTCGTATGCTGTCCTCTACCGTCTACGCCCTTCATCGTCGTCGTTCGGTGGACCTTGAACGTCGTCGTAGAATGACGGCCTTGTCGTACGTGTTGTTGATGGCCGACCTCTATTGCAGGTTGCCAGTGCTGCTCCTAGTCACAATTTCGCATGTCGTGGTTCTGCTGTTCCACGTGTGCTTCCTCTATCGTTGATGGCCGACCTCTATCGAAGGCCTCTAGCAGAGAAGACGAGGGATCGACACCGGCAGCGCATCCCGTGGGCGTTCGTCTACACTGGATGCAATTGCCATCTCCGCCCCCGTCCTCCTTTTCATCCACCCGCCTTGACGTCGCTCGCGGAATAACATTGCAACCCATGGCTCAGCAAACCTGAACTGTAGCCTCGATGATGGCCAACCGGGACTTGATGAAGTGTCTTCCTACTCTGTGTGCAGATCTGCGCTCTCATTCTGCCCAATGCCCTCTCCTACTGACAACAAAAGAGCGCGACCGTTACGACCGCCGCCACAACCATCTTCTCGATCGTCGTCAACTTCGCACGTCCGTCATTGTTGCCGCCCTCCATTGGCACGTGTTGCAATGGTTATGAACCACGAAACTACAACAACCTACCAACTCGTCACGACCACGGTAACTTCAGCGTCAAGTCCCCGACGACGTTCCCCGCGTATGCTCGACTCAACACATAGGCGTGGCGACATGCAGAGGTGATGGCGATCGACCTTCGCGGGGTGCTTACAAATTCGTGACGACATACGAGGACTCCACTGCGCTGCTGAAATGCCCGTTTCCACTGTCGTAGATATGCACGCCACCTGCCCCGCGTTACCGTCGTAACGTCCAACACGCAATTTGAAATTCAATTTTCAAATGGGGAGGTCCATTGCTTCTTAAGTTTTTTTTTTTTCCGGTCGCCAGCGCGTTTGAAAATTTCCTGCCTTCGGCAGCTGGACCACACCGTAGCAATACGGACATCACCCAATGGACCAAGGCATTGGGCCCCCGGTGGCGGACTATAATATTATGAAAATGGCCACCGGCGGCCGAAAGGAATCATCCTTGGGAATCGTCTATTTTGTTTCTCTGATGTACTATGAACTCAGTCGGTATAAGGGACGCTGGACCCGGTTTCCAGCAGGTGATGCTCCCCACCAATAGATGGAGCCTCTCCCCAGGTGCTAGTGGTGTCTGCTCTTACCAGGACCACTAACATTGGAGGAGAGTTTAACAAAAAAAAAAAAAAAAAAAACCTTGCCTGTTGTGAAATGGGGAAGCAGTGTGACCGGTCCAGCCACTATTTTCCCAAATCGGGCATCCAATTTTTTTAAGAAAATAAGATTTTGGGTACGCAGTGTGAGTGTGCCCTCACTCTGAGCAACAAAAAAAAAAAATAAAAAAAAAATGAAATCATCATCCTTGGGAGACAACCCCAAGGATAGGTGGGACAACGGCGGGAATTTCCTTCAAAACCCCCAAGGAAACTTCCTTCGGCCCCGAGGACGCCCCAAGGAGTGTCTAACGAGCCCCTTAATTCGAAAACGAGATCGAACGTGTGTACCTCCGCATTTCCGTTCGAAAAGACATCGAATAGCCCGTATGGAAGTGCAAAGATACTTTTTGGATTAAACAAACGTTTGAAAGCTGAGCGCACTATTTCTTTCCCCGCGGCTATGGCCATTTCTCACTAAAACTGGAACCACACGAGGGATTTCAGTTCCGTCTATGTCCCTACACTCAATTTCTCCAAAAATGCTTGGCACACCCCATTTTGCTGTTCTTCAGGGCCTATTCCGCATATGTTAGCACTCTGGCAGGAAGGCAACATAGGGCGTGAGGTTGAACGTCACATGGACTTTCAAAGCGGGCAGACTTCTTCTCAGTCGGCCCGTATAGTCCGACAAACTATCCTCGTCACCCGAATAGAAAAACCCAGTCATGGTCGCTGCATCTGGACTGAAAGTTGCGGCAAATACAGCTATAATGACCAGACGTTCTATTCAGGTGAAGTCCGTAGTCCTACTCTCTTCCCCTGAATACAACGCAGCTTGCTTATGACTGTATCAGGACAGAAGGATAACTTGTATACATTTGCGATCACAGAAAGCAAAGGCACGACCCTGACCGCTATTACAGCCAGGTCCGTGCTCATAAACCTCCGATCTTTCAGATCTGGATTGCCGATGTCGGTTGGATGGAGACATAGCCATTGCGATTTGAGACAGAAGGCACTCTTACCACTACACCGGAGGTAGAAGAGTGTAGAGTAGAGTTGAGTGTGGATACTCATGGGGTAGCCCACACAGTCTTAAGGTACAGGGGAACGCCACTCGTCAGTCTCAGACTTGATACTACTAGATGGTTTTGGACTACATTGGTTCAGCCCCGAAAATCTGTCCGGTCCATGGATTCCTACAACCTCCAAGATTGGTACAGCCCTTCTTAGGGAGCATTCAACCCGCATCCCTTTCAAGTGGTTGAGTAAACAAGGACGAGAGCAGTCACTGATTGAATACGACAAAGATACTCAAATGAAGCATTTACAACTTTTTTTTTTGAAGACCCTCCCCGCTGAATAACTCAGCAGCCTACTTTGGTGGCAGCAGTCGATGCTAATCATCCCAACGACTGTTTTCTTGGTAGCCAGAGGGATGGAAGTTCCCACAGCCTCTGCTCGTTGTCGGTGGGCATGGGAGACTAACCGACATCTTTGGATAGATTGTCAGATTGTCAGTTCTCAATGCGTATACGGTGCTGGTGGCGCAGACATTGGGCAATATTACCTTGGTTTTCTTTCGTGTGGACTGAGGAGTTCACTCTATCTGGCATTCCGATGAGTGCTTGCAGAGAAGACT